TAAACTCCCTGTAAAACTCTGTAGCTTCTGTCGGTCTAGTAAAATGATGATTTAAATTTTTTTAGGCTTTAAACATCACTCATACTCGACCAATGTACTCGAGTGCAAGGTCTCCAACTGCAACAAAAAAAAGTCTAGTCCACTGGACTATATACTCGATCTATAGGCTTTCTATAGAGTAAAAGTTTTGAATTTTTACTCTATCTCCACGTTGTTCCTTTGCTCCTGAGAACCACAAACACAACTAAGACAAATCAAAAATAACAAGAGAAGAAAAATTTATTTTCCTCCCAAGTGAGCTTGTTTAAAGTCATTAGCTTGACTCCTTTACTCCTTTAATCATCAAGAAGTTCCTGGAAATGAACCAACGTCACCTCTGGAAGGATTTGATCTGCTAAGTATTTCTTGAGCCTTTGACCATTTACTGTGAAGTCTCCACTCTTACCAGCTAGAGTGACTGCTCCATAAGGACGGACCTCAGTGATACAGATGGGGCCAGACCATCTGGATTAAGCTTTCCTGGAAAGAGTTTCAAACGAGAGTTGAATAGCAGCACCTGATCACCAACCTGAAAATCCTTGGTGATGATCTTTTTGTCATGGAAAAGCTTTGTTCTCTCCTTGTAGATTTTAGAGCTCTCATAAGCTTCTAAACGGATCTCGTCAAGGTCACTGAGTTGGATCAAACGGACCTTGTTGATGAAATGCTTTCCACCAGCACTTATTACTACTCTGGGAACTCCAAATCTCGGGAAGATTATGGTCTTGAACAGCTTCAGCACAACATTTGCATCGTTGGTAGGACTAGCAATAGCTACGACCCAGTTTGATACGTAGTCTACGGCGACCAGTATATACTTGTTACACTATGAAGATGGGAATGGACCCATAAAATCAATTCTCCATACATCAAAGATCTCAACTTCCAAGATTGGATTATGAGGCATCACATTTTGAAACAAACTCCTGAGCGTCCTTAAACATTGTTGGCCACCAAAAGCCTGCTTGAAGAATTTTTGACACTGTCTTGAACGTCGCGAAGTGACCACCATATGCTGAGCCATGGCAATGCAGCAGGATACCTTCTACTTCATCTTTTGAGACGCATCTCCTGTAGATCTTATCTTTATAAAGAGTGTAAAGATAAGGCTCATGCGAGTAGTAATGGTTTATGTCTCTGAAAACCTTCTTCCTTTCATAACTGGTCAGGTTGGGAGGCTCTACTCCGCATGCCAAGTAATTGATGTGATCAGCATACCATGGAGATCCTCCTTCAACAACATTCAGTTGGTGGAACTCTTTCCCACTGTAGCTCCTTCCGAAGAATTCTACAACCATGAGCTTCTCTTTTGGCATTAAATCGTCTATCGAAATGGGTTCTTCAATTCTCATCCTTAACAGATGGTCAACTGCACCATTTTTAATGCCTTTCTTATCTACTATCCCCATGTCAAACTCTTGTAATAGAAGTATCCATCTCAACATTCTTGGTTTTGTATCCATCTTGGCATACAGATACCTCAAAGTTGCATGGTCTGTATAGACAGTGACCTTTGATCCAACCAAATAGCTTTTGAACTTCTCAAATGCGAATACAACAGCTAGAAGCTCCTTCTCAGTTGTTGCATATCTTCCTTGAGTTTCCTCCAACGTTCGGCTGGCGTAATATATGACATGGAGCTTCTTGTCTATTTTATGGCCTAAAACAGCTCCTACTGCGTAATCTGATATATCACACATAATCTCAAATGGATAGTCCCAATTAGGCGCTCGAACAACAGGAGCAAATACCAAAGCATCCTTGATGGTGTGAAAGGATTTGAGGCAGTCCTCATCGAATTCAAACTCGGTCTCCTTGCACAATAGTCTGGTTAAAGGCCTGGCTATCTTAGAGAAGTCTTTAATAAATCTTCTGTAGAACCCAACATGACCAAGGAAACTTCTGATGTCCTTCACCGTTTTTGGTGGTTGCAACTGCATCATCACTTCAATTTTTCCTTTGTCAACCTCTATACCCTTTTCTGATATCTTGTGACCCAACACTATGCCTTCCTTCACCATGAAATGACACTTTTCCCAATTGAGAACAAGATTCGTCTCCTCGCACCTGGTCAATACGCTGCCAAGATTCAACAAACATGAGGAGAAAGAGGGGCCATAGACCGAAAAATTGTCCATGAAAACCTCCACCATCTCATCGATTAAATCTGAAAATATAGAGGTCATGCACCTCTGAAATATTGTAGGAGCATTGCATAAAGCAAATGACATTCTCTTATAAGCAAAAGTTCCATAAGGACATGTGAAAGTGGTTTTCTCCTAATCATTAGGGTGAATTGGTATTTGAAAGAAACCACTATATCCATCAAGAAAGCAATAGTATGGGTGATTAGCTAAGCGTTCAAGCATTTGATCAATGAATGGTAAAGGAAAATGATCTTTCCTAGATGCAGCATTTAACTTTCGATAATCAATACATATTCTATGACCAGTTATAGTTCTAGTAGGGATCAATTCATCCTTTTCATTTTTAACAACAGTCATACCGCTCTTTTTAGGGATGCAATGAACTGGAGAAACCCAAGGACTTTCAAAATTTCTTTTTCCACTACTTCTTTCAAGTTGGGATTTAACCTCCTCTGTGGTTCAACGCTAGAGTAGGATTCGTTTTCAAGGTGGATCCTATGGTTGCATAAACTAGGTGAAATTCCCTTAATGTCGGATAATGAATAACCAATTGCTCTCCTATACTTTCTAAGTTCAGATAATAGCAGGTTCACTTCATCATCATTTAACTCAGCATAATGATCACAGGGTAAGTAGAGTTTGGACCAAGGAATGCGTACCTTAGACCTTTAGGAAGTGGTTTGAGATCAACCTTCGGTGCCTTGAGTTCAGACCAGTCATCTGAAGTTGGAATGATCAGCTCTCCAGTCGCTGGCAGTCGAGGTCGAGTCATTGGTCGAGCATGTTCTCGAGTATGCAGGTTGAACTCGTGCTGACCCTTGTTCGCTTATTACCATTACCTCCGTTGCTGGTCCATTCCATTCCTCAAAGGGTTCGAATTCTTCCATCGCTTTATGGCAGTCTAACAGCTTCTGGTATCCCAAAGTTTCCAAATGCAGAAACCCATCTTCACCACTTTTGGTTAAAGCACTGTTGAGATGATCTTCTTCTACAAGCTCTTCCAGTAACTCATCTGCTAACTGATCCATTTCTTCGATCCAAAAGAGTTGCCCTTCTATGGTAGGCTTCTTCATCGCGTCTTTGACATCAAAGGTCATTCTAAAGTCTTTGCCAAAGTTTAGATCAATCCTCCCTTTCTTGACGTCAATCATAGCTCCTGCAGTTGCTAAGAAAGGTCTCCCCAGAATCAAAGGGTCCTTAGGCTCCTCATCCATTTCCAAGACTACAAAGTCAGTTGGTATCTCTACGGCTCCAATCCTGATTGGTAGGTTTTCGAGTAGATCATGAGGGATCCTTACTGACCTATCAGCAAGGATAAGGGATGTATTGCAGACTTTGTATTGAGTGAACCCTAATCTTTTGGCGATAGAGAGTGGCATGAGACTGACTGATGCTCCTAAATCATATAGGCATCTGTTGAAAGCCAATGGACCTAAAGAGCATGGTAGAGTGAATGAACCAGGATCACTAAGCTTCTTAGGAATGATCTTCTTCTGTATGCTAGCACTGAATTCATGACTCAATACCACCATCCCTTGCACTTCTTGAATTCTCTCCACGATCAAATCTTTCAGAAACTTGTGAGAATCCAGGATTACTGCTAGAGCGTCAACAAGAGGTATCCCCAACTCATCCTCCTTGATGTTCTTGGCAAACATAGCTCTATACTTATCTGCCAATGCTTTCTTGTGACGGCCATGAAATGGAAGCTGTGGTTTGTAAAGAGGAGGGACAAAGACCTTTTCTTTGTTCTTGACAGCAACTGGTTTTGGAGAAGTTGGTGATGTCGCTGGGAAGGTTGGTCGAGTTACGTGGTCGAGTGGTTGCTCGAGTGGATGCTCGAGTGGTTTGTCAACTCGATTTTTACCGAGACTGAAATCCTCCCCATCTTGACCTTCACTGTCCTCAGTGACTGTCTTTGGTTCCTCTATTGTCGGAAGTGCTTTTCCACTTCGCAGAGTGATAGCGTGAGCATATTCTTGGTGAATCTGAATTCCTTTGCCTGGAAGTTGGCTTATTTGTTTTGGAGCAGAAAAAGATGCAAAATGTCCTTCTAAGTAGCGGACTTTGGTATTCAGTGTTTCCACCTTGACATTTAGGTCATTGTAGCTACACTTCAGCTTATTATGTAACTCAGATATCTTCTTTGCCATCTCCGTGGAGCCAGAGGCTTGGCCGTGGAGCAGCTGATGTACCATCTGTTTCATTTCAGCGTCACGAGTAGCAGGACCTTGGTTTTGCTGAGGTGCAAATCCAGGAGGTGGTTGTTGCTGGTAGTTCCTTTGAAATTGTTGTTTGGGAACAAAACCTTGATTGTAAGGAAGAAAAGGTTTGTTCTGACCTTGTTGTTGCTTTGGAGGATACACTTGGTCTTGTGGATTAGCAACGTTGGTGCTGCGGTAGGAGAGGTTGGGGTTGTTGGTTTTGAAGTTGTTGTATCCTTTGTAGCCACCCTGGTTGTTGTTGATGTAGCTGACTTCTTCCAACTGGTTACCCTCCCCATCTTGGACTTGATACTGCTCGTCATCAACAAGGAAGTGCACATGCTTCTGCTGACTAAGAAGAATCCTATCCTGCTTGTCATTCAATGCTTTGATCTCCTTCCTGTGTTTGTCATTAGAGTCAGCTGTGCTTCTGAAGGTCCTATCGCAGTCCTCGTTGTAATTACCATCTGATTGAGCAAGGTTCTCAACCAATTCCCAGCCTTCGTCAACATCTTTGTTCTAGAAATTCCCATTGCTGGCGGTATCCACAAACATTCTGATACGTAGTAAAATTCCTCTGTAGAGAGTGCTGAACAAAGAGGCTTTAGTGAAGCCATAATGAGGGCATTGGTTGGTATAACCCTTGAAACGTCCCATGCTTCACAGAAGCTTTCACTAGCTTTCTTTAAGGCTGTAGAAAGCCGAAGATCTCATTTCTAAGTCTTGCAGTTCTGGCATTGGAGAAGAACTTTGATAAAAAAAAGCCTTATTGCAATCATCCCATGTGGTGATTGAGTCATGGGTCAGATTCTTCTCCCAGATGTGTGCTTTGTCGCCCAAGGAAAATGGAAACAAACGGAGCTTGAATCCATCTTCATTGACACCATTGATTTTTGTTAGGTTGTAGAGCCTATCGAATTCATTAAGGTGGTCGAGTGGATCCTCCGTTGGCAGACCAGGGAATTTGTTCCCCTGAATCATCGAGATGAGACCACTCTTAATCTCGAAGTTATTGTTCTGGATAGCAGGTGGTGCAATTCCTTTCCTCTGACCATGGTCCCTTGGTGCATCTCCAGTACCAATGTTGGGAGGGCCATTTTGTTGATTTTGTTTGTCAGCCATTTCGAGTGGTTGCTGTGGTATTTGGTTGGCTGTGTTTCTCCTTTCTCTGATTTCGCGAGTTATGCGGTCGATGTTGTCATTGAATAAGAGGTTCTAGTTGCCTGTTGATCTAGTTTGCATACAGCAACGGTGTACCTGGATCAAGAAGACAACAAGAAAAACACACAGTTAGCAACCGAATTGAATATTGAAAAAGAACTTGATCTAAGCAAGTTTGAAATCTCAAATGTAACAAACAAAAAACCCAATTGGCAACGACGTCAAATTGATAATACGTTTTTAGTCAATTATCCTAAAACATCAATCATATCGTTGTAGTATTTTAGGTTGTCAATCCAAATGGGTGTGATGCTAAGAATCAAGATGTGATCAGAAGTCACTAAGTCAAGCCAAGCAATAACAGGTTTTGGTGCGTTCTAGCAGTCCTAAGTGAACATGCAGAAAACAGAAAATCAAGCTGAAACAAATAAACACTCGACCAACACAGCTCGTTGCAGAGCACTGGGTGTGGTCGACTGACAGGTCGAGTAACAGACAAATAATGTAACAGGGATATTCGACTGCACAGTCTCTTGCCAGACAACTGGGTGGTCGAGTATCAGGTCGAGTAACAGTAAAGAATTGCAGAAACTAAGCAACAGATGACAGGATGAAGTACACAGCAATAGAGTAAACAATAAAATCAATCAGATAAAGAATTCTTGAGGATGGGGTAATTGAGTAATTTTGTTTCCTTAGTTTACAGGTGATTGACATGCTCAATAAATTATCCCTAGACAACAAGTTTTTTAACCAAATCTAAGTGCCACCGCAACAGAGACCCTCAAGTTAACCTAGTCCCAGACTCAATCACCATTGACGAGAGCTAACCTAACAGGTATTACGAATCAACAAGTTAAAGCCAAAACGCTCCCTGCAACCAATACCTTGGTAGAGGGCCACGAATCTCTGGAATTAGTGCTTAAGACATTTCATCAAACACCTTTTGGGTGCGGAAATGTCTAGGCTCAAATTCTAATTGATCAAAAAGCAATAGGCATTTAGAACAACTAATCCAGAATGTCTAGGCTCAAACTACCCAGCATACTGAGAATTCTAAACTACTCTAACCCATCCTCTGAAACCTATCCCCTACTTAGACATCATTGTAGAAAACATAAACGTTGAATGGAATGAAAACATGATAACAACAGAGTAATAGCGAGATAGTAACAGGAAGAACAACAGTAAACGAAATCAAGAACAAATACTGAATACTTAATACTGAATAGATAAAGAGAAATCCAGATTACAAAAGGTCAAGAACACACTGTCTGCGGAATAAAACTTAGATAAAAACTTGTTCTCGAAAATGTAAAGTACATGTTACTTATAGCAAAATATTCTGAAACCCTAATACTCAAAACGACGCAGTATTGGGACGGATTAAGCATTGTACTCAACCCAGGTGGTCGAGTGAGAGGTCGAGTGATAAGGTGGAGTCTTGTTTTCTTCCTTGTGCTCGAGTGTCTGGTTGAGTGCGGAATGAAGAAGACTCTGAAGCTAGCAGTCGAGTATGTAGTCGAGTGATAGAGATGATGGTACTCGGCTTCGTGGTAGAGTGATCGAGTGAAGGTGATGAATGTACTCGACCTTGTGGTGGAGTAGGGTGATCGAGTGAAGGTGAAGTGGTGGAGGTGATGATACTCGACCACGGGGTCGAGTGAAGTGATCGAGTGTCTCTCTTGGCGGTACTCGACCAGGGGGTCGAGTGGTGACATGAAGTGCTGAGGTATTCTACTCGATCAAGGAGTCGAGTGGTCTGTTGAAGTCGTGAAGCATCTACTCGACCAGGGGGTCGAGTGGTTTGACATGATCAGGTCCGCTTCTTCCAGTTAGCTCGTCAATAGCTCCAAATCACCTGAAATCAACACAAATATGCAACATGCATGCAAAACTATCCTAAACATGCAAAGTGAGGACAAATGATGAGAAATGGTATAAAACAGTGATGATATGGTGCTAAAATGATGACAAATGGATGCTCAAAACATGCAAAATACACACTTATCATCAATCATACACATGCAATCTAGTCATATTTGACTCCAAAACATTAACTAAGGTTCTTCATGCTTTCTAAGGCTTTGATGGTGATGTCGAAGTCCGTATGAATCTTTTGTTTTGTATCTTCTAGCATGGAAACACTACTTTTGCTATTGGGATCCGTTTTCTGTTCTAGTTATAATACTTAACCATGCACATGACATCAAGTCATATTTGACTCCAAAACACTAACAAAGCTTCTTCTTGCTTCTCAAAGCTTTCATGGTTTAGCCTAAGTCCGTATGAGAATTTGGCTTTGTATCTTCTAACAAGGAAACACTACCTGGGCTTTCAAGATCCGGTTGTGGTTCGAGTTCTTATACTCAATCATACATATGCCATCTAGGCATATTTGACTCCAAAACACTAACCAAGCTTTTTCTTGTTTCTGAAAGCTTTAATGGTATAATCGAAGTCCGTATGACTCTTTGGCTTTGTATCTTTTAAGAAAGAAATACTACTTAGGCTTTTAAGATCCGGTTGCGGTTCTAGTTCTTATATACAATCGTACACTTGACATCAAGTCATATTTGACTCCAAAACAGTAAACAAGCTTCGTCTTGCTTCTCAAAGCTTTGTTGGTTTAGCTGAAGTCCGTAAGAGTCTTTGGCTTTGTATCTTCTAAGAAGGAAACACTACTTAGGCTTTTAAGATCCGTTTGTGGTTCTAGTTCTTATACTCAATCATACATATGATATCTAGTCATATTTGACTCCAAAACACTAACAAAGCTTCTTCTTGCTTCTCAAAGTTTTGATGGTGTACCTGAAGTTAGTTTGAGTCATTGGCTTTGTATCTTCTAACATGGAAACACTACTTAGGCTTTTAATATCCGGTTGTGGTTCTAGTTCTTACACTCCATCATACAAATGACATCAAGTCATATTTGACTCCAAAACACTAACCAAGCTTCTTCTTGCTTCTTAAAGTTTTGATGGTGTAGCCGAAGTCCATATGAGTCTTCGCCTTTATATTTTCTAACAAGGAAACACTACTTGGACTTTTAAGATCCCGTTGTAGTTCGAGTTCTTATACTCAATCATACACATGTCATCTAGGCATATTTGACTCCAAAACACTAACCAAGTTTTTTCTTGCTTCTCAAAGGCTTAATGGTGAAACAGACGTCCGTATGAGTCTTTGGCTTTGTATCTTCTAAAAAAGAAATACTAATTAGGCTTTTAAGATCCTGTTACGGTTCTAGTTTTTATACTCAATCATGCATATGACATCAAGTCATATTTGACTCCAAAACACTAACCAAGCTTCTTCTTGCTTCTCAAAGCTTTGTTGGTGTAGCTGAAGTCCATATGAGTCTTTGACTTTGTATCTTCTAACAAGGAAACACTACTTAGGCTTTTAAGATCGGGTTGCAGTTTTAGTTTTTATACTCAATCATACACAAGACATCTAGTCATATTTGACTCCAAAACACTAACCAAAGCTTCTTCTTGCTTCTCAAAGCTTTAATAGTGTAACCAAAGTCCACATGAGGCTTTAGCTTTTGTAATCCGGATTTCTCTTTATCTATTCAGTATTCAGTATTTGTTCTTGATTTCGTTTACTGTTGTTCATCCTGTTACCATCTTGCTATTACTCTGTTGTTATCATGTTTTCATTCCATTCAACGTTTATGTTTTCTTCAATGATGTCTGAGTAGTGAATAGATTTCTGAGGATGGGTTAGAGTAGTTTAGAATTCTCAGTATGCTGGGTAGTTGAGTTTGATTGATAGATCCCTTCTAGATTAGTTATTCTTAATGTCTATTGCTTTCTGATCAACTGGAATTTGAGCCTAGACATTTTGGCGCCCAAGAGGTGTTCGATGAAATGTCTGAACCACTAATTCCAAAGATTCGTGACCCTGTACCAAGGTATTGGTTGCAGGGAGCGTTTTGGCTTTAACTTGTTGATTCGTAATGCCTGTTAGGTTAGCTCTCGTCAATGGTGATTGAATCTGGTACTAGGTTGACTTGAGGGTCTCTGTTGCGGTGGCACTTAGATTTGGTTAAAGAACTGCTCAGCACTCTTTACAGAGGAGTTTTACCACGCATCAGAATGCTTCTGGATACCGCCAGCAAATGGAACTTCTAGAACAAAGATGTTGAAGAAGGTGGAAACACTGAATACCAAAGTTTGATACTTAGAAGGACATTCTGCATCTTCTTCTGCTCCAAAACAAATCAGCCAACTTCCAGGCAAAGGAATTCAGAATCCAAAAGAATATGCTCACGATATCACTCTGCGAAGTGGAAAAGCACTTCCAACTAGAGGGGAACCAAAGACAGTCACTGAGGACAGTGAAGGTCAAGATGGGGAGGATTTCAGTCTCGGAAAAAATCGAGCAGACAGACCACTCGAGCATCCACTCCAGCATCCACTAGAGCAACCACTCGACCACGTTACTCGACCAACCTTCCCAGCGACATCACCAACTGCTCCAAAACCAGTTGCGGTCAAGAACAACGAAAAGGTCTTTGTCCCTCCTCCTTACCAACCATAGCTTCCATTTTCTGGT